TGTTGTGCTTTTCACAATAGTCAAGGTGTGGAATCAACATGCAGTAGCAGGTAAGCAGATAAATACGCTGTTCAATGCCAAGCACTGTTATTCACTGTGGACAGGGTGATGTATAGTAGGTATCATGAACTTGTCCTCTCATCAAGCTGAAATTTTGTGTACTTTGACAAACATTTTCCCAGTCTCTTCCACTTCCAACCACTGGCCACCACTCCTGACTCTGTTTCTATCAAGTTCAACTTCTTTACACTCCACAGAAAAATGAGATCATGCAGTATTTGCTTTTGGGGCTTGGCTAAGTTTACTTACAGAATGTCCTGTAGATTTATCCATATTGTCAAAAATAACAGGATCTCTATTTTTAGATGCTGAATAGGATTCCATTATGTTGATAGATGTACTACATTTTAAAAACATTCATCTTTTAGATGAGTACTTAGGATGTTGCATATGTTGACTATTATGAAAAATATTACAATAAACATGAAGGTGCAGATGGTTCTTCAACATTCTGATTTCAGTTCCTTTGGATAGATACACATAATCAGATTGATGCATCAGGTGGCAATTTTATTTTTAATTTTTTTGCGATCCTCCATACTATTCTCCATCAGGGAGAATAGTAATTTGCATTTCTACCAACAGCCCACTAAGGGTTTCTTCCCCTCCCCCCATCCTTGCCCCACACTTGTTACTTTTCCTCCTTTTGATAAAGCTGCTCTAGTAGAGGTGAAGTGGTGTCTTACTGCGACTTTGATTTGCATTTCTGGATACTCTGCTATGCTGAGCATTTTCCATATGCCTTCTGGCCATTTGTGTATTCTCTTTTGAGAAATGTCCACTCAGGTCCTTTGCCCATTTTAAAATCAGCTCTGTTTGTTTGTCTTGCTTGTTCTATATCCCTATGTAGCTTGGATATTAACTAACCCCTTGGTGGTTACGTGGCTTATAAACACATTCTCCTGCTCTGTAGTTTGTCTCCTCAGTCTGGTGATGGTTTCCTTTGCTGTGAAGCATCTCTATTTGATGTGATTGTATCTCTTTTCACTTTTGTTACCCATGCTTTTGGGGTTATATCCAAAACATGATCGATCAGACCAATGTCATACAGCTTGTCCTTTTTTTTTTTAGTAATTTTACAGTTTCAGGGCTTATCTATAATCCTTTAATCCATTTTGAGTTGATTTTTGTTGCACACAGTGTGAGGGGAGTGACCAGCATCACTTCTACATGTGGACAGCCAATTTTTTTCAGCATCATTTATTCAAGAGCTTGTCCTTCTTTCTCTGGCACATGTTCTTGGCATCTCTGTTGAAAATTAACTGGCCATATCCAATTAATATGCTGCTTTATTCTCCCCAGCACTGAGATTACAAGTGTGCGCCACCACGCCTGGTCTCTGTGGCCCACTCAGCGTGCCCAGGGACGGGGCCAGCAGGGCATTGAACCCTGGTCCTTGCACTTGCCTAAGGAGTGCTCAGTCCACTGAGCTATCTTGCCAGCACTTTAAGTCTTTAAAAAAAAAACAAAACTAAATCATAATCCATTTTAAATACAATTCAACTTTCAGCTCCCAGAGTATTGCCATTTTTAGTAAACGATTAATAAATGCATGCATGGAAGTTTCCTTGAATTTACCTCAGCGATCATAAAATCATCTCTCAGTTTTAAAAGCCCATCTGGGCCAGGCTCTTGGCAGCACAGTGACTGAATGTGAGCTCATGTCACGATTCGCAGAATCCCCGTGGGCCCATGGGGATGCGATTGAAGCCAGGCCAATTGATGTTTTAATCCTTTCTGTCCTTCAGGAGGAAATAGAATTAAAACTTAACTTTTTGTTATTTGGCATTTGTTGCACTGAGCTAAGATTATAGATAGACTGTTGAATTAGATTCTTGCTAAATGGATTTGTAATCTAAATTAGATATGCAGGCTAGTGACCTTGGGAAATAAACCACAGAAGTGACAACTTGGTGAGTAGCTCAAAAACAAACCCAAAAGAGCCTAAGCAGAGCTGTGCCGATGTGCTCTATTGTTTGCTGGTAGCAGGCCAAGCACGGAAAGCAAGTGTCAATTTTCTGTTCTAGCTGTCTTGAACTTGTGTCATTTCCAGCACAGCCACTTTTTTCCTTCTGTCTTAGTTTTCTTTTCTTCCAGTTGAATCCTATCTGGCAGAGCAGTTAGAGCAAATATATGAAATAACAAATACGAGGCACTCCAAGCTCACAAAATTGTTTCCACCACAAAATGAAATAATATAGAAATACACTGTATGAATTTCATCTAATCATTTATGATAGAAAGCAAGTAAGTTAAGGAATAAAATTTCACAATTTAGAAATACTTCTTTTGAAATGCTTTGATCAAATAAATAACAATGCATTTAAAAATAAATCAATCTATAAAAACTTGATGTATATACAAGTTTTAGAGAATATATCTTTCTCTAGGCAAAGGTGGGTTTAATTAATATCTAACATAGTGGGAGTGATGGCGCACACCTGCAATCCTGGCTCTTGGGAGGCAGAGGAAAGAGGATCACTGTGAGTTTGAGGCCATCCTGGGCTGCAAAGTAAGTTTGAGACCAGCTGCACTGCATAGCAAGGCCTTGTCTCAAAAGGACAACAACAAAAGTTGCTCAACACAGAAGGCAATTCTTAGAGTAAGGCATTAAATTGGGGTATGCAGAGGCATGTGACTTGACAATAATAACAATTAACAATAAAAATGATCATTAAATGCTAATTATGTAAGTGATAACTGGCAAATGGAAGGACCCAGTTTTGTTCCCTGGCACCATATGCTGTGATGGCCCCAACTACCATGCCAGCCACTGAAACTGGGCATGTTGATGAATGTCTGTAATCCCAGCACTGGGGAGGCTGAAACAGGAGGATCACTATGAATCAGAGCCATATAGCAAGACTCTGTACCAAATAAATAAAAGATTTAATTGGTTTTTAAAGTCAGAGAGCCTTTGTATGCCTCGTAGATACCTTATATAGTAGTAAGTTTACTATCTGATACTGAATTGGGAAAATCCACATGTCCCCAGGATAAGGGAAAAAAGCCACCTGTGTCCTCTCCCATTAAAATGAATGTGAATGAAGGGACATTTTGGGAGACCCTGGATTAAACACTCTAGGAGAAAATAATAATTTCAATGTGATAATTAGTATGGAGAAGTAAAAAATTTCAGAATACATAAAATTAGTAAAAATGTCTAGCCTATATTGAAACAAAGCACTGCATGTAACAGAAGTAGATGCATACTGGGACTAAGAGTTGTCTCAAGGACAGGGATGACAACAGGAAAGTGAGGATTTTCTTAGGACAATTGAAAGAAGCATCCTACACAGCGTGATTGTGTTGCTTGAGATAAGACTCACACAGTGCTACATTCTAAAAAGGTGCAGGATACTCCAGTTTCTCTTTAGATCATAGAAATCTTTCTCCTTTTTAAAAAGGTGCAGAATGAAGTAATGCTTCCCAATTCCATGCCAAAATATCCTCACTCCTATAATCCAGCACTGAGAACAAGTGAGCCAATGTTAAGAAGAGGTAGGAGGGCCAGGGAGATGGCTCAGTGGGATAAGCACTTCCCTGGCAAGCGCAAGAGCCTGAGTTCAATCCCCAGTTCTGAAAAAAAAAAAAAAAGAAAGAAAAAGAAGAAGAAAGAGGAAGTAGGGCAGGCAGAAGAGCACACTGCAGCCTTCTCCCACTCCGTGTGGGCTTAGTCCATCTGAGAAGTCATGCTGCAGGCTGGGGAGGCTGCTGCAGTTGTTGCCCTCTGTCTCCAGAGCTCCTCCACATCTACCCCTTCTCCTAATTCCCTTTGTTTCTTGGCCCCTTCTCCTTAGTTTGGCTCTGTGTCCATCCTGCCCCTACTTTTGCTGGCCTGATTTTGTACAGCTGCTCTGCTTGTCACCTTAGCTCTTCCATGGCGTGGTGACTGATCACTTAGTCATTTGCCAGTGGGTTCATGCACAAAGTATCTTGATAGCCTCACCTACTTGTGTTCCACACTATAGCTTGTTGGGGACCACACTAATGTGGACATACCCTGAGAAAACACTGATTGTGGACCGAGAACCAACTGAAAACTTCAGGAGCAAGCTTTGAATAAAGCTAGCAAAACCTGAGCAAGTATCTCAGATCACTGAGGAAGTCAGCATTTCTTTAACTGGTTTACCACCTACAATGAAGCCTGCCTCTACTCTAGATACATAGAAGGTGCTCAGGAAATGTTTGATGCAAGAATGGATCACTGAATAAATACATTGTTATACACACTATCTATAAGATCTGAGACTGGTTACCCTGGTCTAAGGAATGATTTTGAGGGTATGCATGAAATTATACTAAGTATTTTACATTTTATGAATATTTCCATTCATATTGCCTTTCAATAAAAAGATGAAGAAGCAACCGAGTGCATCTATTGGCCATCACTTTTAGAACATTTATGGTTTAAAAGGAGGCTTTGAACATAGTTACTTTCTGCTGTGAAAGTTGTAAAACATTCTAATTAATCCCTTGCATGCTAGTATATACCCTCATAAAGGGTAGTTAATACAAATCCTGTAGGCTTAAATCTCCTTCCATTCTGTTGCTTTTCCACATATGCAGCTATACATTTAACTCAAAATATATCCAAAATAAAGAAAAAGACACCTGGTCCCTCATGCCATACCGGGCGTGGTGGCACATGCCTGTAATCTCAGCTCTTAGGAGGCTGAAAACAGGAGGATCACTATGAGTCCAAGCTGTGTAGTGAGATCCTGCACTAAATACGTAAGTGAAAGAAAGAAGAAGAAAGAAAGAAAGGAAACATTCATGACCTCCATTTCCTGGATGACAAGCTGTTGTAGAAAGCCGAAATAAGAATGCTCACTGAAACAACTGACAGAAGCACAGGGTTGGGCTTGCAAAGTCCCTACTGTGTGGGAGGGGAAGTCTTCTCTGCTCATCAGATGTACCGGGTATTTGTGTTTCTTCAGATTGAGAGGCTGGACGTGGAGAACTTGTTTAGCAACATTGAATCCGTGCATGAGATATCAGCCATGCTGCTGTCTTTGTTGGAAGAGGCTACGACCAATGTGGAACCAGCCATGCAAGTTATAGGTATGTTTATTCTCTTCTCAAGTTCTGTGGTACAGCAGGAAACAATATTTTAATAACATCCCGGCGATTGGCTTTATCTCCCTACCTCACAAAGCATCCCAGAAGATGTATAAGTGCTAAACCCATCTGCGATTACACAGACTCCATATTTATACTCAAATGGGCATCTGTCCATTTGCTGAGGTTCCTCACTAGCCTTAAGCATAGCATTTGCTTTTTAACTTCCAATCTCTCACCCTTTTTTGCCTTCCAGAGGTTTTCATTTTGTTTTACAGCAAACACTTGGCTGGTGCTTAAGGAATTAAGTGTTAAAAGAGTGTCTCATATTTACTGATTTTTACCCCCCCCCCATGTTTTTCAGATCTTATTCTCTTGATTCTATTTAATGATTGAAATTTTTTTACATGTAGAATTTATATGACTTATAAAAAACTTAATGGAAGTTCTTTTCTAATTTTCTTTTCTTCTTCATATTATTTTGTTTTCCAAACATTTTTACTGTCAGATAGTCATGAATACATTTATTTTCTTACTGTGGTATGATTATTAACAACAATTATGGAGATGATCATTAAAAAGTATTGAGCCAAATTTTTATTCTATTTCTTGAAAGTTCTGAAGAATTCCTCAGTGGTTTGCATATCTAAGATACTCACATACAGCAATACAGAAATAGGAATTCTTACAAACTTACGATTTTTTATATTTCACATACAATATGTAATATAAACTCATCACAAAAATATTAGAACAGGGTTGGTGAGATAGCTCAGTTGACTAAGCATTTGCTTAGGCAAGCGCAGGAACAGGGTTGGACCCCCAGCAACACATGCCATGCTGGCCCTGCCCCCAGGCATGCTGAGCTGACCCCGGAAACTGAGTGTGGTGGTACACACCTGTAATCCCAGTACTGGGGAGGCTGAAGACAGGAGTATCACTACAAGTCTGAGCTGTGTAGTAAGACCTTGTGCCAAATACATAAAAATAAATAAATAAATAAGTAAATAAATAAATAAATAAGGGCCAGCCATATAGCTCAGCAGAATAAAGTGCCTGCTTAGGCAGAGCGCAGCAGCTGGAGTTTGATCGCCGGGCCTGCCTCTGGGACATGCTGAGATGGTGACTGAGACTGGGCATGGTGGTGAACATTGTAATCTTAGTACTTGGGAGGCTGAAAACAGGAGGATCACTACGAGTCCAATCTGTGCAGTGAAACTCTGTAGACACTGTACTAAACACATTAAAAACAAATAAATAGAATAAAAATATTAGAACAGTAGAAAAGTGAATAGAGGAAAGTAGAATCCTTCCATGCTCACCTCCATAGCCACTGCCTTCTCGATTAAAGGTAACCACTGCTGTGTTAGATGTGATTCTGCTGTTTTTTGTGTTTTTTTTTTTCTCCAAATGCCTTCAGGGCAGGTTTGGCTGGCTTGAGTTGTGGGGATCGAACCGCAGCAACCTGAGCCTGACTGCTTTGTTGAAGCAGCCACTTAAAGAGCTGAGCTAAGGGGCAGGCCCCCAAAGAACTGAGCTAAGGGGCAGGCCCCCATAAGTTACACACACACACACACACACACACACACACATCTTGTATCATTACAGCATATGCTTTTTTTTTTTTTTTTGTTACTGGAAATCAGAATTATAAAGGTGGCATGAAATTGGTCCTGTTCAGTATTCATGAAGGTCCAAGGTTTAATAAGCATAATTGATGCTATGGGAAGGTGGAAAACATGACTTGGCTATTTGTCATGTTTCTACAGAGTAAAAGGCTAGCCCACTTAAAAACAGGTTTAAGTTTGGCCATTCTTCATGACTGAACAGCCTTAAAATCTGTAAATGTATTTTCTAGAAGAAGGACTGTATGCATAGTTGTATTGCTGTAGATTCACTGGCCACTTGTTATTATTTCACTCGCTGAGCGGTTGTGAAGAAGCAGCATCTTCAAAAAAGCAGGATGCTGTGTGGTGTAGCAAAAGACAAAAGAGCGTGCCTCTGTCTTGCAAACCCACAGTAAAAGGCTCTTTGGTGTGAAAGCACGTGTGCAATAGTAGACCCGCAGTGGGTTCCAAATCCCTGTAGGAGTTCGGCACACACCAAGAACCTTTCTAGGTAGGGAATCAAGGAAGGATTCTTGATGGTGTCACTGGGTTTAAAAATGGAGATACAACTTCAATAAGTAGGGTCCGAGCGGGGGGTGGGGAGGAGATTGCAGCAAGCAAAAGCATGATAAAAAATACCAAGTATATTTAGGATAGAGTGAAAGAGCAGCTGGAGCGAGAGAGTCCTACAAGGGGCGAGCAGGAAGTAAATCTGAAAGCGTGTAAGGATGCAGACTATGCCCCAAAGAGCAGGACGGGTTCCACTCTGCAGGAATAGGGGGCCAATAAAAGGTGTGTGCAGCAAGGGTATGACGAGACACAAGAGTTCCTGGGAAAGGAAAATATGGTAGGTATGAAGAGAAGGGACAGAAGGAAAAATAAGTCCAGGACCAGTGAAGAGACTGTTATAAATGTTGTAAGTCATGATGGATTTAGTGAGATGGGAAAACAAAGGTCATTTCATCAGAAATGTGGAAGAAAGCATAAATGAGCTTGAAGGGTTGGTTCTTCTGCTGGAGGCAAGGACAAGTGTGGGTGCAGGGTGACCACGAGTATTGGTTTGGGCCTGTGGTTTCAGCATTCAGTCCATTTAGTATTTTTCCCTAGATTTGGTCCCCAGCACCACACATGCAAAAAAGTTTCGTCATCTGTAGCTGTGTTATGAGAGGTTTTATAAGAGCCCACTATAGTCCTTCACCTGCTGACATAGCTTTGTCTATTGTAAGGCGTAAGAAGCAAGTGCCATTGGCAGAGGTCTCACCATGACACAAGGCAGCACTGGGAACCTGGCTCCTTCTTCCTTCCCCAGCTTTCTGAGTCTCAGGAAATGTACATTTTCCTCTGAAATGCCATAGGCAGTCACTGACTGATCAAAGGGTGACACTGGACACAAACTAGGCATAGCTCTTCTCTTCTCTGGTTGTGGGAGGAGGTAGAAGTGATGCTGGAGACCCTGCTGTCCATCGAGTGTGGCACTGAGGGGTGCAGGGGCTCATGTGGGGTGGCACATGCCATGACCATGAGAAGCTGGCAGTCTATCAGGATCGCAGTCAATGGGGCCAATGCAGATTAGGTGCAGATGAAATAAACATGTAGGAAGCAGGCTGAGCCGGCCGGCTGTGGAACAACTGAAAGTTGAGTTGCTTACTGTTAGATGTGTATCCACAACTCCTTTTACTATCTGGTTATGCTTGTTTTGGTTTGCAATAAACCACTTCAGAAGCAAGGTCTAAATACATTTGTTTAATATAAATTAAGTGTTGATGTTATGTTTCTCAACAAAGTTGGTGAACAGATAAAGTACAAAGTACACATCTACCATAGGGTCCTTAATGCTATCTCTGATCATAAGGCAACCAGAAGACACAGATCTGAAGGAACAGCCACATCTATGTCAAAAATGAATCTTTATTTTAAAAAGACTATGCTGAATGCAAGCCACTTAACACAGAGAGCTGCTTCGAATGTGTTTGTATATTCCATATGCATGACATTTCAACTAGGTCAAATGACAGTTGTCCTAGCTTTACTCAGTTTCATTTCTGAGATTCTGCCTACTTGCAAGAAATGTAAAGCGATGCCACCAAAGACTTGACACCATTAGCAGGAGAGTTCTGCCAACAGTTAGAGGATGACAGTTTGATACAGCGTGAGCAGATGACTCAAGTAGAAAATCAGTTAATTCTAATAATGGTTCAAAGCTTTTTAATCTAAATTACAGAACCTAAGAAGAGCTTTTAAATTTCTGTGTCAAAAGTAGAATGTCTGATCTAATCTCATTGCAAATGCTACTATAAATTTAACTTAAAAATTAAATATCCTCAATGCAAATGATCATACAAGTACACATACCGGAGAGGCATACCACGATTGTAAAACAATTGTTTTACTAAAATAAATCTGTGGAGTAGAAGTGTACTTGCAAGTTGATTGTGGTGTGTAGATAATGAATCTGTGATATTTTATTATTCAATACAAAAACTATAGTCATAATGTACACATACTTTTTTATATATATGTTATGGTTTGCATGAAGACATCCCCCAAAGCCTCATGTGGTCATAGGTTTTTTTGTTTAGTTGTTTTTTTTGGAGGTTGCTGAAACTTGAGTGTGTGATTGATTTGTCCTATACTGCTGGGATTAAGGGAACTGGGATTAAGGGTGGGTGATTGCTGGATCAGTCCACTGATTGGATTGGCACCACTCTAATCCTAGTAGACTGGATACAAATAAGGTACAGAAACAGGCTTGTCTTGTTCTCACTTGCTGTTATTATTTTCTGCTGTCTGCACTCTTGCCTCTCCACCATATGCCACCCTGCCTTATAGCCAGCCAGTTATGGGATGAAACCTCTGAAAACTATGACCTGAAACCTCTAAAAGCAATAAGCTAGATAAAGCTTTCCTTCCTTCGTTTGTGGGTGTTGGTTATTTTTGTCTCAGCAACCAGAAAAATAAGACAATGTACAATAATAAACAGTAATATTTAGAGGATAAGGTTGATGTTGAATTTAACAATAACTATAATCAATGGACCAGCATTGAAGATTCAGATGCAACTACAAACACACTAAACCACCTTATCACTGATGAATGAGCCAAACATGTCCACTGGAAGAATGATAATTTCTTCAATAAATGGTGCAGAAAAAAACTGGTTTTCCACATGCCAAAGACTAAAACTAGACCCATGTCTATCACCATGTGCTAAACTAAAGTCAAAATGGATCAAAGCTCTGTTATAAGAGAAACACTAAATATATTGGAAGAGAAAATAGAAATCCTATTTCTAGACAGAAAATTCATGAATAAAACCCAGACCACACAGGAAATACAACAAAGAATCAACAAATAGGACCTCACTTTATTAAAACGCTTTTGTACAACAAAAGAAAT